TTCACTCAAATGTCTTTACTATACTGAACAAGCTTCTACAACAATTCCTTTAAGACAAAAGCAATCTGTCTTTGGTTCTGCTTCTTTTTAGGGCATCACTCTGCTTGCTCACTAACATCTTTTTCTGCTGACTACTTGTGCCCTCTAGTGATAAAGTCAATTATACAACAGGATTGGGCTGGGAAACAGACTGCCCCACAAGAGCAGATGGAGAAAAGAAAGCAAACTCCATGTCAAGCAAAGACAGGCCAAAGATGAAGGCAGAAGCAGAGGGAAAGGATCCAAGCACTGTGCCTGTGGCTGCTCCATCCAGAGCAGAAACTCTAGAGTGTCTCCACACAACAGCCACCCATACTTTGGATGCCCAACAGTAGCCACCAGACCTTTGCTGCAGACCTTTAGCTTTCCATGGGTTTAGGTACTGATAGTCAGACTGTCTGGAAATATTAAGTGGAAATTCCAGACTAACCAACTTATACATTTTAAAAATCTCACACAATCCTGTTCTGTCCTGCCTGGAACATGAATTATTCCTTTGTCCAGAACCTGCCATATCCCCCCCTTAGTCTTTGAAGAGCCTTCTTAGCAATCAGCTCAACCTCTAAAACATCAAGATTCCAGTGCCTGTATTCTAGTCACTCTCACTTTACTAACTAATGTCCTGCAACATGAGAGAAATGGTGGTCATTTATTCAGTATACAGCTACAAATGTTCCATTTTATGATTGTTTACCTTGACCAACTGTAGGTTGAAATCATAGGAACATAAGAGAAAGCATAGTACACAGACAATACAGTCCTACTTTCAATTTTAGGCAGCCCCTGGGGCCTTGGAAAACACTCCCCATGGATAGAGGAGGACTGCTATATAGAAAACATCAAGCACACTTTGGAATATAAAGGCATTCATATTAACGTTTAAATTCAGGGGTTTTTTTTTTGTTTTTCTTTTTTGCTTAGTAAGACAAGATATCTAAAGATTTCCAGAGACTACCTGTTACATAATGCAGATTTGAAACAACTGCTTAAACATGTCTGTCAAGGAGTAACTAAGATTTCAGATTACAGCCTTTGTCAGTTTCACTAGCTGGTGGATTTAGCATTGGGGTTGGTTGTGATCATGATCATTTACTCTGCTAAGCTTATTAAGCAAGTTCTGTAGACTTATTGTGTTCTTTAGAGACATAAGAATAATAACATGTGACTGTCTTCTTCATCATCTACTCTGTGCATAAGAAAACATCTGCACTGTCCTTAGCTATGAATCTCATATAAGTAAACCTCGGTTTACTTCATAAGTACTTAAGAGAGAATGGATGTCAGTGATGTGAGCAGAGCGCAGCTTACACAGACAGCCTTCTCAGCCACACGGCTATTACTGGCAGGTGGTCAGACACTATGGAATCTTCTGAAATACTTAAAAAAAGAGAAAAGAATCATGCATATTGGGAATCATTTAGCTCTAATCCCAAGTGGAGACATATGGTAGAGGTAATAACTACTGAAGTTTGTTTCTTAAAATTAAATATCGCTGAATGAGTCCATATAAAATTATGGTGAAAAATCAGAAAAATGGTCGCCTTTTGGAGCTAAGAATTGACTGAAAAGGGACAACAGAGAACTTTATGAAGTGATGGAGGTTATATACCCTGCCAGGTGGTAGCTACACTGCAGATGCAGGTCAAGATTCCCTAAATGGTACATTTTACATTTATGTATTTTATTAGCTATAAATGATATTTCAGTAGACAAACAGATGTCAGAGTCTTGGGGGGGAGTCAACTTTAAAAACAATAAGTATTGCCATTAGAGGAAGAGAGAGGTTCTAGTATAGCTTCAATAGCAGATATAGTTTCACTGAACCAAAGCCAAGGAGGAAAGAACTGCCCTGGCTTCTCAGCAGTATCCACACTGATTAGTGACAGGGCCACCTCAACAGCAAGGCCCTCTTTTGACTAGTACATTGGATGCTGTAGAGCTAAGTCAACTTTACTGTTCAATGGAGGGACAGTATGTTATAGGAAAGAGAAAGAATGGGCCTAAGAGTCATTAGATACTACTAATTTTAGATAAGATGGTAACAATTTATTCTGGGTCATTACTAAGTATTTCTTCTGTGGGCCCATATGGGAAATTCTGACTAGAATTAGCAAAAAGTGAAGTAGGAAGGAAAACAGATACCATCTGCCACCACTACACCACCCGGACTTCATCTACTGCTACTTGCCATCACCAACCTTGTGAATTCCCACTGCTGCTGCAGACCAACCCCATCTGCCACTGAGAGGCTCAAAAAACTTCCACCACCTACAGGAAACCCACTCAGATCTACCTCTCATGGACCAAATAGATGCCATCCAGATAAGTAAAGGTGCATCCAGAACAGCTCCAGAGAAACAACCTCCAGATGCTCCATCTCCTGTCACGCACACAGCTGCTTCTACTGGACCTGTTCCTTCTGACCTATTCTCAGATGGCTCACTCCATAGACCCTGGACAGCAGGAAACAGCCAGCTCTCCTAAGACTGGACAAACAACCCCCATACCCATTCTTCTAGGTTCCCCCTAAAGACACGTCGCCCCCAATGCCAGCAGGAAGTAGCCAGATTTCACGATGACCCTATTCCTGCTTTGCTGTCACCTCTTTCTAATTTTTCTTTTTAATTAAACCAAAACATGGGGGGAAAATGGCACCTCACCTAGGCTGACTCAGCAGCAGCCTTTCCTTTGCAGAACTCCAGGTAGTGCGGGGGAATGGCACCTCCTGGCAAGTGCTTGGGCCAACCCTAGTGTCATGGTTTGAATATGCTTGTCCCAGGGAGCTAGCACTATTAGGAAGTGTGGCCTTGTTGGAGAAAATGCATCACTGTTGGGGTGAGCTTTGAGACCCTCCTCTTAGCTGCCTGGAGGCAGTCTGTTCCTGGCTTCCTTTGGATGAAGATCTAGAATTCTCAGCTCCTTCTCCAGCACCATGTCTGCCTGCACACTGCCATGCTTCCCACCATGATGATAATGGACTGAATCTCAGAACCTGTAAGCCAGCCCCAATGAAATATTTATAAAAGTTGCCTTGGGCATGGTGTCTCTTCCCAGCAATGGAAACCTTAACTAAGATACCTAGATTTCCAGCTAGAGGTATTGTTTGCTTAGATTAACACTGGAGTCTACCTGATATATGGGAAACAATAGTAGATTGGATAAATGGAATATTCTTTACCTGACAGATAACTTTTGTGTCGAGCCTTAGCAGCCCATGCTTTTCTACACAGACCAGAAAATCTTCTCATGAAATTCCCTAAGGGGAATTTTCCTAAAAGAAATTCTCTAAGCATTGTATTGAGATCACTTCTTCTTACTTATTGCAACCTAGGCTAAGATTTTCCAGTGCCAAGAAGTTTACTACAGACAAGAGATTTTTTTAACTGACAAAAGACATTCTATGGCAACAAAATCTGCCCTGTAATTCCCAGGATCTACACAACCCTAACCCTTCAGGGATTACGGGCCTTTCCAGGGCTTTGTAATCTATTACTCAGGTTCTCTGTTTAAGCACAATTCCCCAAAGGAACATTTCTCCCTCTAAAAGCCATCCCAAATCTCTTAAAGAAGTTGCTGGCATACATGCATAATCTCATGTACAGCCATGCACAAGTGTGTACGTGCACACACACACACACACGCACACACACACTTGCTCCAAGGGATTTTTCTGTATATACCTAAACAACACAATTCATCTTTGTAACAAATCCTCAACATCAATCAAGGTAGACAATTCTTACCTATATTATCATTAGTTAGCCCTCCCCCTCCCATTTGAGGCAAGATCTTGCTATGTAGCCCATTCTGGCCTTAAATTTGCCCTATAGGAGCTAGAGATGGCTTAGATGGTAATGTAGCCCTGAGTTTAGATTCTTAGTACCTATATAAAAAGGCCAGACACAGCACTGTATGCCTATAATCCTTGCAATTGGGAGGTAGAATTCAGGAGGATTCATAAAATTTGTTAACCAGCCAGTCTAGCCCAATTAATAAGCTTCAGGTTCAGTGAGAAATCCTTTTGCAAACATTAAGGTGCAAGTCTTTGGTCGCCATACAACCTGTGCACACATATGCAAATGTATCCACACCTATCCAACACACAAATACACGCACACACACACACACACCAAAACCAAGAAACTTGTGAGCTTCCTACCACGGACTCATAAGGGATTATAAGCACCATACAACTACTGTCTGGGATCTTAACTATTTAGCTAGAACAATGGTGATTTACTACTTACATCTATATTGGTAAAGATGAGCTACTTGATTTTCTATAAAGATCATTAAATATATTCTGAGAATAAATGTTCACTACTAAAATGCACGGTGCTAGAAGGCTGTCATTTCACATGCTTTGAAAAGCAAAGGACATGGGTTTGTATAAATGTTTACCAAAACCAAATTCCCTCTTCCCTCAGTGTTTTAGAGGTATAAAAGTAGCGCAGATGGATAATGCTGAGTGCGGGACTTTCAGTGCAGAGTCAGACATGGGTGCCTGGCTTCAAAAGGCCAAGTTACAAAAGAGGTGAGGTGCTTACCCTTACTCAAAGACAAATATAAATACTTTTAAATGGTCTCAAATTTTATGTTCTATTTATGTTCTCTGTTATAGGAGAACCATTAGAAATGTGTATCACTTTTTTCTTTTCTTCCAACAGTTTCTAAGTACTTTATCCAATCTAGTAATAGTCAAGAGAGAAAAAAGCAGAGCCTCTGTCAGTGTTGACGTCTGGCAGGTAGCACAGCCAAACACTAGAAAGCTGTCCAAGAACATGAGCAGTGCTACAGGACAGGAAAAAGCAGCACCAGCAAGCAACCTGCCTCGTTTCTCAGAGGAATTCTCATCTTCTCACTCAACACACATGTGCCCAGATCTGCTCATCTCCTAAAACTGTGTGCCACAGAGCAAGACAGCCCTTGAAGGGACTGTGCATCACTGGTCAGTCACTTACCCATGCTTCTTTGACCTCTTCAGAGACATCTGTTTCATCCTCCTGAAATGGAAAGAGGAGGGAAACCATAGGAACCATAGTCACAGACCTCTCTGAAAACAGCAAGCTTAGTTCCAACCAGTTACACTTCTTGGTCTTTCAAATGTGGGCAATGAGCCTGAAAGGCAGGTGACAGCACCACTGCCACTTCCAACACCTGCCACAGGCAGGGGACTTAGAAGCATCACTGTGGTAAAAAGTGTCAAACCAAATACAGCGAGGAAAATGTATTTTTCAAAAAGCAAGACTTTATTTCACTCTGTCAAAAGTTATCACCCTATGGTCTGGAGATGTAGCTTATTGGTAGAGTGTTTGCTTGTCCAGCATGTGCAAGGCCCTGAGTTCAATCCCCACTGGTAAAAGCGAAATAAAACAAAACAAAGCAAAACAAACCAAAAACTATGAATTCAGCCCTAAGACAAGGAAATTTTCACTAAAAGATGGTTTGTAAAAGACAGTTTGTAATGGATGACTGCTACTACTATATTTCTTGTCTCGCTGAATAGTTTTACCTAACGTTCAAATTGGTCATTAGAAACCAGGGGCCTCTGGGTTAGGATGCTGGCCAATTGGCTTAAAAATACTAGTAGCAGGCTTGAATGAGAAGGTTAGAAGCAGCTATGGTGGGAGTGCATTACAGTACAGTGTGTGTTTGTGGTTAGTAAGTGGTGACCTGTTTTCTACAATTTGATCCTTTTCCTGCCGGAAAGGTCAATCTAACATGCAGATGAGTTTGAAATGTTTTAAACTGTTTTTGCTTTTCCCAAAGATGCATTCACTTTACACATCTGAAGGTTTTGCCAACATGCAAGTATGGATACCACGTGTGTGCCTGCTGGATTCCTGGAACTGGAGTTATTGATGGCTGTGAGCCACCATGTGTGTACTGAGAATTGAATCTGGTTCTTCTAAAAGAGCAACAAGTGCTCTAAACCACTGAGCCATCTCTCCAGTCCCCTCCTTCAATATCGTATTATTGTAGAATAGTTAGAATCTTGGCTTATAGGTAGTCTTACGATACTTTCGACTACATGACTCTCAGCAACTATTAGAGAGGACTGCTAAAGTTTGCGAAATGTATCCCCTTGTTCACATGGTAGTTGCAAATCTCCAGCTTTCAAAATCCTTTATCAGTTATAGTGCCCTCTTTGCACTCAGCACTGCTCTAGGCCCTTAGCACACATTGAACAAGTCCCATAATAGTAGTCTTTTCTTAGTAAAAGTTCTTTGTTATCTCTATGAGAGTCATGGCATCACATGGCACTCTTTCTTTTGATCTCCACAGGAAGGCTGGCAGCCGCAGGTGATATGGTGTGCCCATATAGAACAATGTACTTACGTCCTTAGTCCAGAAGTTAATGCCTGTGCCTCTTCGCCGATCTTTAGGTCGTCTCCTCTCTCGGACAGACAGCCTGTTAGAGGACTGATCATCCAAATCAGCTTCTTCTTTCTCTGCCCAAAGATAACACACAATGTGGATCTTAAAAGCCTGGGCCGTGCACATGGGGGAGTGACTTCTGAAGCTGTACATACCACTCATGTCCACTTCCTTTGCGGCTGTGGTGTGTGTGGTGGTCTCCGAATTCTCAGAATCAGGGACTGAAGCTCTACTTGTACGCAGCAGATGAGAACCAGTGTATAGGGAGGGTCTTGACATAGAAGGAGAAACTGGTGTTGTGGGTTTGTCTGGCTGAGTTGAACATCTTAGGCGATGATAGATAGGCTGGAAATAATTCGCAGAATGAGATGTTAGGGGTCAGGTTCAAAGGATAGACAGTAAGGGTCCTCAAATTGGGCTTTTCAATATTAAGGAGACTTATTACCAGTTGATGTCCAGTCAGTATGTATTAGTCAGCTGTATTAGTTAGTAAGTGGTCAGAAACCTGCAGCTTCTGGACTCCTACTCTGAGGATTCCATCATGACCACAGCAGCTGAGACACTGTTGCTAAAATGACTAAATCGCTCAGTGTTAATAAAAATTTTTTGATCTTGAAACTGGAAAGAACAATGGTGTTTTTAAGATGGAGTGCTCAAAGGCAGAAGAGATGGGGAATAAGAAGTTCAAGAGTGTGAAGCAGGGAACAAGAGCGGGTGACGCCCTGAGGACAGAGAGCAAACGTCTGCATGATCCACGGACATGCCACACGACTCACTGAAAAGGTCGTTTCCTCTCATGTTCTAGACATCAAACCAAGGCCTGACACATGCTAGGCAAGGCTATACCACCAAACCACTTTCTTGAAACTAAAAAATTTCTCTTTCCCCTTGAATTTGTTTTTCTTTTTTAAGAGTTGAAACTGGAGATTCTTCTAGGTTCACAATGTAGAGGTTAGGTACCTTTAAATTTATAAACTATAACGACAGAAACAATGAAGTAAAAAAGTTTTGGAATGAGATAGAACTTGGCTTAACATCTATCCTTAGGAGGCAGTAACTGTGTGAACTTGAAAAAGTTAACTTCTCTGACCTCAGCCTCCTCATCTGTAAAATAGGGATAAAGCCATCCTCAGCCAGGATGGTGGGGCCTTAATTAGAAAATGTGTGTTAGGTACCGGAACTCCATCCGAGAACCAGTACTCAGTAAACAATAACTTAACAAATGAAATGCATAGTAATATCAGTTCACAAAACTTAGCACTCAGGGCACTGACATGCGAGACACTGTCTTCTTGTCACTACAGTAACCGTTACTCTTAGGCCCACATTAGGACACTTCTGAGAGAGAAGGAGCTGTGATAACAGTGACAGGGCCAACGGTTACCATGGAGACCAGGAGCATGTTTGCCCTAATTATACCATTGGCCCTCTCTGTGAATGTCACCTCCACTCAACACATGTCCACACAGATGGTGACTCCCAGGAATTTAGGAAACAACACATTAGTGTGGAACAAGCTGTATGGTCATACTGCCTATGTTCAAATCCTTACTGGCCGATTAGCCTATGTGTAGAGTGTAAGGTAAGTTACTCAGCCTGTGGGACTCAATTTCCTCATTTATAAAATAGGAATATTAATATCAATCTCAGAGGGGTCTCCTGAGGATTATACCAATTAATACATTTTAAATGCTTGAAACAGTATCTGACATAAAAACACTTATCTCTTCATTTATATCTTATTATACTCTATTCTCTCTTTAACGAATAGTAAGACATTCACTCAAAAGCATTAGTGAACTCTGAGGAGAAAAGTGATCACTTAAAGAACTGAATTCCTTTGGGTGTTTTCAGCCAAATAGGTCTGCACCAAAGACAGCTATAAACACACAGTGACTTTCAGGAATTGTTCATTGCAAGACGGAATAGCATTTAAGCCACCACTGATGAAGGGTCACCAACGTTTGTGCTTGTGGGAAGAGCACGCTAGCAAAAAGAGCTCACCTCTTCATCCAGACTTCTGCCCCAAGGCTGCTGGCCCTCGCCAGCTTCCCTTGCTGGGGCTGCTGAGGGCTCCTGCTTCTTGGTGCTCCCTTCAAGCCCACCAGGATCTTCAAGCTTCTCACCAGGCTGTTCCTGAGCTTGTCTCTCTGCCCTTGATCGGCTGAAAGTCTTTTCTGCTTCTTGGAGGTCTGTTAGGGTAACACCCTGGGAAAATATCAAGTGGTAAAGACAGTTTCACATTAACACATAGAATTCTTGAGTAACAAAACTGCCCTCAAATCAACCTAAATGGTTCTCCCAACAGAAGACCATTTCTAGCAACACACACTTAAAATAAGCACTGTGGTGTACAGAGAACTCAGACCTACATCTGTGTACACTCTGAACCAATACTTTAGCTTTCCTAACTTGGCCTTCCAAAAATAGGTCAACAGTGGTATCTACTGTTACATATGTCCTTGGTCTGTACCAAACTGTGCTCAGTTATTTGAGTGCACTTTACCCTCTCCCAAGATCAAATGGTTACCCTCTTATTCTCTGAGCAGTAATTACTGCAAAAAAACCAAAATTTTTAAACATGGTTCAAGAAGGTGAAAATTCATAGCTAGGCTAAAATAACAAAACTTTCTGAAACGCTATATTGGCTTTTTCCTCTCTACAGTTATTTCCTGAGTAACTTTAGGAATCACACAGAGATGTATGAACAATTAATGTTCCTCCTGGGATCATTGGAGTAGCATGACAGAAGCAAAACCAAATGGTAGACCTGGCGCAGGAGGGCACTAAGGAGAGAGTGAGATTATTCCAGTAGAGTGCTTACATTTTCAGAGCCTTGGGTGGGGCATGTCCCAAAGCTGGAAAGCAGACACTAATTACCAAATCCATAGTATCCTTTTTATTTTATAAAATTATATGTATACACATACTCTTATGTGTGTACACAAGTATATTCCTTGTAGAGGACACCAGCTCCCCTGAAGCTGGAGTTACAGATGGTTGTGAGTCACTTGACAATGTAGGGTCTTCTGCAAGACCAGAAAGCACCCTTCACTGCAGGACTCTCTCTAGCCTCATAGCTGCCTTTAAAAAAATAGATACTCTTAATTTTATTCACCCTTTTAAGTAACTGATGCCCCTTAGCAATTAAACTACAGAGGCAAGTCAAGTAATTCTTTTCAAGAAACTTTCTTCAAAAATTTATTTATTTTTAGTCATGGGTATGTGTGTGAGCCTGCCAGAGTTGATGTGCACCATGTGCATGCTGGAGCCTACAGAAGAAGCCGGAAAGGGTGTTGGAGCTTCTGGAACTCGAGTTACAGGAGGTTGTGAGGCACTGTGTAAACACTGGAGACTGAACCTGGGTCCTCTGCAAGAGTAGTAAGTGCTCTTAGCTGTTAGCCTAGCTCAGCAGCACCCTTTTCAAGAAACGTTTCATCTACCAGAAATTACATGAAAAAAAATGAATGATCATAAGATATTGTGTACACATTAAGATAAAAACTCGGGGACATGAGGAGACAGCTCAGTGGATGAATGAGTGAGAGGACCAGAGTCTGGATCTGCGAACCCAAGTCAACACACCTCTGGGGAGATGGGAAGCACAGACTGTTGGGAAGTACAGACACTTGTAAAGCAAGTTTGCCTGCTATGATCAGTGGTGAGCAAGAACCCTGCCTCAGTCCCAGAAGGCAATGACTGACACATGAAGCTGTCCTCTGACCTCACAAGTGCTTCTTTGGAAGGGTGTGAGGGGCAAAAGGCACTGTGGCTAAAGGAGCCTGTCCAAAGAGTCAGAAACAGGAGGTCAGGATGATGCAGGTGTCCATCAGCAGTTCAGCAAGGCTGAGGCAGTGGGAGGAGGTTGAGGGCAGTGAGACCCAAGAAAGCCTGGGTCATCCGCCATAGTAAAGAACTGAATGTTTACTTTCTGGATAATTTTGCTTCTGTGGACCCTGTCCACAGAACCTATCCCTTTAAGAACCTAAAAATATTTTCAAAGGTCATGTACACATTCTGAAGAGTCTGAAGATCCTTCCTAGTTCTGATGTGGACCTTGGCTCTCTCTACTGAGTCTTTTTCTACAAAATTTCTTTCACTTTCTTTTGTTCTCTTGCCTCTCCTTTCCCTCCATCCCTCCTCTGTATGTAGCCAAGGCTGACCTCTACACCACTATGTAGCTGAGCCTGGCCTTCAACTCCTGCTCTTACTGCTCTACCTCCCAAATGCTGGGACTACAAGTGTGCCCACCACGTCTGCTTTCATTACAAGACACTTGTGTGTCTTTGGCTCTTCCACTTTTAATTATACGCCATTCTCCAGATAAGTTTTCCTGTCTCTTCATGAATGAATTTAAAACCATATAAGAATAGACTATATTCCCAGACTATTATTTCTCATTCATTGATATATTCAATTATATATATATATAATAGATGTATGTATATATAATATATGTATAATATATGCATACATATTCTGATTATTCATCTACTGTACACTGAAGGAGAAGATAACAGTAGAGATAGAGCCAGTGGGCTATTGAAATGGTCCAGTGCATAGAGACACATGCTGCCAAGCCCGAGTTTGACATGTGGGAACCACGTGGTAGAAGGAGAGAACTGATTCCTTACGTTATCCTCTGACCTCCATGTGTGTGCCATTCCCCATAAAAAAATTAAAATGTAAAAAAAAAAAATTACAGTCAGTCTTCTACTTCACATTTACTAGAGTAGCTATTATATTAAAAAATCCTCCAAACTATAATACAAATATTGAGAAAGATCTAGAAAAATGGGGATTTTTGTGGATGGCGACAGGAGTGGAAAGCAGGGCAGCTATTACATGAACAGTACATCCTCAGTATTAAAAATAGGATTATCATACAAGCCAGTACACACATATATATTTGTACATCCACAAAAGACTGAAAACAGGGTCTGGAGACGTGTAGATAGCCATTTGCACGGTGGCTTATTGAAGGAGCCATGTGTCCACTAAAAGATGAATGATAAATTGTGGCATAAACATACAGACTTAAGAAATACAATGATGCAACGTGGACAACATGGATGAACCTAGCACTGTGTTACATGAAATGAGCCAAACAGGTAAGACATACACCGTATGATTTCATTTATATGATTCGTAAAGCAGTCAAACTCATAGAGAGAGAAAACGGAATATTGCTCGTTTTGCATAGAGTGATTGCTTAATGAATACAGAGTTTCAGTTTGGAAAGACAAAGAACATTCTGGAGATGGACAGTGCTGATAGGAATTACTTAGTGACGCTGAATATAAACTTAAAAATGTAGAAATGGCCAAGTTTTCTTATGTATATTGACTAGAACAAAAGAAACACAAGAAACAGTCATGGGCTTCGTGGACGACGGATTCTATGGGAAGAGGAGATACATACATTGATTCTTGGAGGGTCAGGAAAGACAGATTTGATCTTTTTGTTACTATATTGTATAATGTCCCTTTCTCATTATTAGCTGTCTTTCTTGACTTCCGCACCATCTAAGTAAAAAACAGAGAGCACTCCTTTCTGCCACACCAGCTTCTCGTTCATCTCTAATGCTACTGCTATCTTCTGGCCTCCTCTTCACTCTGCTTTGTTGCTTTCTCAGCTTTCTCAGTGCCTTCTCGAGGCCTTTCCTCCACACACAAGGCCATTACACCCTGAGTTCCTGCCCTCAGCTGGGGCGACTCTGAACCACTTCCTAACTAATCTTCTGGCTTCCTGGCTTGGCAAACATCTACCTACCAATCTCTGCGAACAGTGTGAGCTACATCACATTCTTCCTTAAACTGCTTCCATGGCTTCTGATCTTTCTTCTAACTGAAATATAACTCATGTATCATAAAGCTCTGCCTTTTACTGTGTGTGATCTGATGGTCCCTAGGATGCTCTGATCTGTTCCACCATCACTGCTCTCAACACTCAGGTCACTGCCATCATTCCCAAAAGAGGCCACAGCCAGTAGCGAGTCTCTTCACATTCTTCTTCCCTGAACCCCAAGCATTAATCATCCCTCCATCTGTCTCTCTCTCCCTCTGTCTCTCTCAACTCTCCCTACTCCCTCGCCTCCTCCCTCCCCTCCCCTTCTAGCTATGCCATTTTGGATACACTTCATAATGGACTCCTAACAAACAGGCTCTTTGTGTCCTGGCTGTTTTACTTGAGATGTTGTCTCAAAGTTCATGTATGCTGTAACACCACTTTAATTTTTTGTATTCTAAAGTATGTCTGTGTGTGGATTTATGCACGTGTACTCAGATACCCAAAGGAGGACAGACAAGGCTGCTGGACCCCTGGATCTGGAGATCCAGGCTGTTGTGAGCTACCTGATATTAGTGCTAGGAGCTGAACTTTGTAAGGGCAGCAGGTGCTAACTGTCCAAGCATTATTTCCAGCTCTTGTAACATTCAATTTTAATTCCAAATAATATTTCCTTGTATGAGCATGGCATATTTTGTTCATTCTTATTATGGAGTACAATACTGGGTTGGCTGTACTTTTTGGCTATTTTGAATAATGCTATTATATAATTCTCTATACAAGTTTTTATGTGAAAATATGTTTTCGTGTTATTTATCTAAGAGTAGTCTGTGTGTGTTGTATCAAATGGAAAGTCTATGTTTAACTTTTTGAACTGCCATCGGTTAGAGATTCTCCACGTGTGGAGAGCTACAAGGCTTCTTAAAAGTTCTTAAGCAAAGCTAAAATGAGCCTGGAGGAATGGAGGTGAGTGTGAGTAGAGACGGCCATAAACTTAGATTCCACACAGTATACCCTTAGACATGGTGACAACTGTGATAAAATTACAGTGGCTGGAATAAAAGTACTCATTTTAGTATACTTACTACATACTTCCACTGTGAAGGACAAAGACAAAAGAAAACTAGGGAAGGGTGTCATGCTTACTTTAGTATGTTTACTACTACATACTTTTCTGGGAAGGGAGAAAGACAAAAGAACACTGGGAGGGAGATGGAGGGGCAGGTCATGCTTACTTGAGTAGACCTTCGAGTCTGCCGAGCTTGTCTGGAGCGTGCTTTCCGTAAAGACTCTGCCTCCTCATCCCGTACAGGAGTCAGATAAGACCTATAAAGAGAGGAATGAGAAAGTGCTCTACATCCTGAAGGGATTCCCCCATGCTGAGAATAAAGGTCGGTAAAGGTCAAAATGGCCAGGAAGCTATGTGCCATCAGTGAATGCTGTTACGGCATACCAAACATTTGTAAATGTGCCACCACCCATACAGAGTGTGCCATCTATAAAAACAAAACTGAATTTTATGTTTTTCTTCTTGTACTTCCTATTTTTCTGTCTTTTCTTGTCTTACTTTTGTGACAGGGAGCTGTGGGCCATGCTATAGAAACGCAATGATAGTAAGCGTCCATGCTTTGATCCTGCTCTCAGTGATCCCCCGCTACAGGGGAGTTTATTGGTTATGAAGTTTTTTTTACACACTGCCCATCAAATTAACCTAAAACTTCCTATCTTATAGGAATCCGGTTAAGGTTTGTGTGTACTGATGCACGTGTCTACATGTTCACATGAAGATTAAAGGTGGATATCAAGTGTCTTTAGCATTCTCCCTGTGAGTGCATTCATGTGTATGAACGCAGAAATGCAGATATCACTGCCCACACATACCACAGCGTATGTGTCGAGGTTAGAGACAACCTAAGCATCATTCCTTATCTTTACCTTATTTTAGACGGGGTTGCCTTACTACTGTATATGATAGGCTAGTTGGTCCAGAAGCTTCTCCTGTTTCTACCTCTTATTCCCCATGGGACCATCTGGGTTACAAATAGGCATGCTACATATCCAGGTTTACGTAGGTTCTGAACTCAGGTACTCACATTTGTGTGGCAAACCCTCTTACTCGCTGAGTTATTTCCCTAGCCCATGTATATTGGTTTTTTTTTTTGGAATAAAGTCTTTCAGTGAAACTAGAGCTCACTGATTGGCTAGGTTGGCTGGCCAGTACGATCTGGCAAACCTCCTCACCCTGCATCTCTGGTGATGAGATTACAGTTGTACACCAACTCACCTTATTATGCGAGTGCTGCGACCTGACCTCAAGTCCTCATGTTTATATGGCAACATCATATTGATTTTTATTTAAACTGTGTTGGTTCAAACAAAAGGCTCTAGGTTCTGTGTTTTATATTTTGTTTTTGCTTTTGTGCCCATGTGGGCACGCTAGTCAAGTACTGTATCACAGAGCCACACACTTTGCTCAAGACATAAATGTATGTAGATACATGTGCACTCCCAGTGGTGTATGGAAGCTGGAAGTTAATGTCACATGGCTTCTTTACTCTCCACCTTATTTTGGAACAGGGTTCTGAGCTGAACCTGGCACTCATGGGTTCAGCTAGACTAGGTGGCTAGGGAGCCCCAGGGATCTGCTCATCCTCACATGCCCAGGACATGCTGGACTAGAGTTGTGCTGCTATTCTCCAAATCCAGGTCTTTATGCTCACATGGCAAACATTTTACCAACTCAGCCATGCCTCAGACAATATGTATTATATGTATGTATTACAATATTGTATGTAATACAATGTGTATTCCTTTAAGGTTTCTCGACTCATAGTCATAAAAGGAATGTGGCCTCTGATTTTTCTCTTCTAATGACCAGCTTTGTGAGTTAAGGTTACATATGTTGGGAAGAATTCTCTGCTGATCTACTTTCTGTAATAATGTATGTATGATTTGTGTTACATAATTTTTAAAATTCACTAATAAAATTTATCTGAGTTAGTGTACTCTGGAGGAAAGTTTTAAATAAAATATTCAAATTCTGTAATAGTTAGGCTTATTTATATTTTCTGTTTTGAAAACAAATATTCTGTTTTTCAGGGAATTTTTTCTTTATTTCTTTGGTGGTATATAATTTTTCATAAAATCCTTATAATAAAGTCTAATTTCTATAGCAGTAGTTGTCTTTCTTTCATTCGTTCATTTGTTTTTGTTTCAAGACAAGGTTTCTCTGTATAGCCCTAGCTGTCCTGGAAGAAGCTCTGTAGACCAGGCTGGCCTCAAACTTACAGAGTTCTACCTGCCTCTGCCTCTTGAATGCTCGGATTAAAGATGTGTGCCACCACTGCCTGCGTAACAGTTATTTTCAGTAATCCAATGCCTAAAGAACTTAAAAATTTGATCTAGTTCTAAGATTCAGGGTAGAGATGATAAAATTATCCCTGCCTTGTAGATGAGACAATCAAGGCCCAAGGAAACATAAACATAGCCAAGATCACAAGGTTATTCACCAAATACATTACCACAATGCTCTTCTGCATCCAGAACTTTCCTTACTTTATTCCATAATGAGACATTTGTTTTTTTGACAAAGCATCATGACATTTCAGCTACACGCAAATCTCTCAGCAGCAGGACTGAGTAGACTGAGCCATCCTGACTGCCTTCCTCTGGCATCCTTTGCATCTCACTAAGGTCTGTGTTACTCAACAGTTTGATGGTACAGGATGGTTTTACACTTACAGAAGTGGTTATTGACGCGTTATAGGGCTGCTATGAAAGAACCATAAAAATCAAATAGTATGAGGGACTAAATTCTCCTATGGAGAACACTGACTCTACAGTCAGATGTTGCCTGATAGAGAATGGCATGGGAGATTAACACTGTAGAACAGAAGAAAACAGACTGCTGCGCTCTTCTGCCTCTTAGTCACAAAATAAAGAAGAAGGCAAAGGGTTTTTCAAAACTTCAGTCAGCTTTAACCATAATGAATCCATATTTATGGTGATTGTGGAAAAAAGGCCGTTTGTCTTCTTGCTAAAGCCTATTCATTGGTCTGGCCAAACAGAGTCATCGTTAAATATTCCAGGGGATTTGGTTCCAGAACCCACCCCCCACCCAAGTACCCAAAGCCATGAGTGTTCAAGTCTCACATAAAATCACATGGCATTGGCAGATATGTTAACATCTTCTTTAAACATATACCTTAAATCATCTCTAGCTTACTTCTGTTGTGCAATACAATGTCACTGCTGTGAAACTGCTCGTCACACTATTAGCTAAGAAATGACAAGAGGAAATTGCCCGTACATGTTAGACACAAGTATATTTTTTCTCCTGAATATTTTCAACTCAGTTGGTTGAATCTACAGATTCAGAACTTGTGATACAGCTTCGATTATACTAAGCTTCCCATGTTTCTATGGGTTTCTAGGGGTCTTTAGTTCCTTAAATGGGATTTTGTATAATAATGGAAGTGTCCAATATTCAGTCTTATATAAAAGCCAGTAGCCACATGTGGCTACTGAACATTTTAAATGTGACCAGTGCAACAGAGGACATTATTTTTTACTTTATTTGTCATTAAATTTAAACAGCAATACACAAATACTGACCATGTGGGAAGCACACCTCTGGAATGCTGGGAATATTCTGAAGAGACATTCTCAGCTTTCTCCTTAAATAAAACACACACTGAACAGAATCCATGAAGATAGAGTGTTTGAGAGCAATTGATTACATTTTCTTCTCCAAGTTTTCATTTTTCTTCTGTGCTTCCCATAGGCCATATTACTATAACCTTGTGCTTTTGTATGCAGTAATATTAAATTTTATGAGCTAGTGCTGGGGCTCCCACCTTCAGGGTATTTACGGTACAGCAAACAGGAAGATGCTCACAGACCAGAGCACCTCAGAGCCCCTTGTTTTCTAATTCCAGCATTTATACTCTCTGTATCCATATGCTTTTTCCCATACCACCCTGCTTTCCCTCTGCCCACCCCACCTCAATGCAGAGAACTCCAAGAAAACAGTTACCTTCTTGTGCAGGCCTGCATAGCAGAATGAAGGTCAAGACATGCATGGAGATGAACAGCAAGAAAGGTAAGCGGCTGCTGGGAAATGCTGCAGTCTCAGCACCCGTCTCCCTTGGAAACTAGAGTAAGCCTGCACTGCCACTGCTACCCAGCAAGTCAGAGGCAGAGCTTTTGTAATTTGCTAAGAAGCTGTTCCTAGGAAGGGGGAAATGGAAGGGGAGGAGGGCAAAATCCCGGGGCTCAGCAAGCTAGTGCTACTAATAGTTCCCAAAATACCATTCCATTAGATGCATATTTTATATACTGTACCAAGCCAATCAATACTCCTTGTCATTGACAGAAGGGAGAGGGAGAGTTCTTCTTTATGTGAGAGAAGACAGAGTGGAGAGGTGCAGCACTCCTGTTCTGGCTATTTCATCTGCCCTTGGGCTACCCTAGCTGTGGCATCCACCCAAGTGAGCTGTAAATACTGCCTCGCTGGAGGCTGGGCACAGTCAGCTGCTGCATACCGAGAGAGGAAAAGAGACAGGTAAAGAACAACACATGACAGGAACACAAAGAGGAATCTCACCTCTGTATAAAGGGTTAAGCTGGAGAGAGGAAAACTGTAAGTACTGTGCAAGCTGAGAAGCTACCTAAGGAGCAGAAAGATTTCTACATCTAAGCTTGCTCTCTGCTATTACGATAAAACACTAACCAAAAGCAACTTCAGGGAAAAAGGGTTTATTTAGCTTACAGGTTAGAGTCATCATCTAGGGAAGCCAAGGCAGGAACTCAAGGCAGAAGCCTGGAAGCAGGAACTAAAGCTAAGGCCACAGAGGAATGGTGATCACTGGCTTGTTCCTAGGCATTTTACATCTACCTTTCTTATATAACATAGAGTCATCTGCCCTGGGGTGGCACTGTCTTCAGTGGGGTAGGCCTTCCTGAATCATTAGCCGTCAGAAAACTTTCCCACAGACATGTCTCTAAGCCTTTCTGCTTGGAGCAATTCTTCAGTTGAGGTTCCTTTTCCCCAGATATGTCTAGGTCTGCATCAGATTGACAAATAACTAACCAGCCCACTAGTATATGCCATATATTAAGATCTGGTCTGATTTCAGTTTAGTGCGACTGAGTCTAAAGGGTTATGTGCCATTGTGCACTCTAATAAGCACAGACATCAGAGCTGAAGTTCAAGCAAGGAATCCATGCTACCACCTCAATAACCAAAAGGACAGAGACAGGTACAAAGAGAACACAAAGCATGGCGAGAGGCGGCAGGGGTAGAAGTGGAATTTCTGAATCTTCTAGACTGGCGCTATCAGGGACAATTTTGCATGTCCCTTCCATAGGGAAGGCAGAGTTATCTGGCCCTAAATGTCAGTGGTGTGGAGTCTTCAGCCTGAGTACTATGCATTCCTGGAGAAAAGGACCAGACAATAAATCTTTGGGTTATGTGTCCCCTACAGGGTTCAAGCAGTCACTGATAAGCATAGAGGCAGGGGCTGTGCACCCACTGCTGCCATGCTGGGCTGCAGACAGTGAGCAGACACAACGGTACCTGCACAGCCTACAGAGTCTGGCCTCTCACTGAGAAACTCCACAGATACCTTATTCTAGTCTCTATGTTCTACAGCACAAAACTATGGCTCGGAGGACTCTTTCTGCTGTAGAGCCAATGTGCCTGTTGTTTGTGGCCTGCCTCCAATCAGCAGAGTGTACTCTTGAGTTCTCCCCGTTCTGAACAGTTTCAAGAAAAACCACATCAGTGTTCAGAGCCAAAGCCACTTTCACAGATGACAGTGCTTTACCTATGTAGGTCACTTTACAATTAGTTCATTGGTCACAGCAGGTGTTACTGATGCCAAGAATGACAGATTCATGTGCCAACAAGGCCAGTGCATGCTGCTCTACTGCATGCCCACAGGCTACACCATCGAGACCTGACCAACTGTCTCCAACATTTATCACCTAATGCAGAATAGAGTAGGGTACCATCATTGTCTTGCTGATTAAAATAAAAAAGCCAACATATTTACATAGAAATAACTCAAATCTCAATAGGAAGGATGACAAATAAATGATGGAAGTATGATAAAAAATCACAAATATAATAAGATAAGCTAAAAGTGTATCAGATATACAACAGAAAATATCTGAACATAAAAAAAAGATATACAACAAAACAATGACCTCAAATCAACAAAATATATTTTCAAGAAAATTAAAGAAACAGAAAAGCCTATAAACAAAAGAGAAAGTATTTTACTAGCAGCAAGGAAATTGGAGTTTAAGGAAAAGCTACTTTTATCTTTCTTTGATAGGCAAAAAAAGAAAAACAGAATAATATTTCAAATGTAACTCAGCTGTAAACAAGAGAGAAATATGCACTCACTCATTAGATTCAGATTTTCCATTGCAAAGATCCAGGAGAAACCCTTCCATATTTATACACGGAAACACAAACAAGAACACACACAGCAGTAGTGGCATTAGTACTGTGTGTGTTTGTGAGAGAGAGACAGACAGACAGAGACAGAGACAGAGAGACAGAGAGCGCGTCTGTGTCCGACAGCACAGTAAACATTCCATCCATCCAATGCTAACCACCCCTCTAAAGTCCTAAGAATGTGAGCATTTTTCTTCGTCATTACAGCATTGGCAGATAGCATCCTGCCTACTCTATCAGGTACTCCAAATAATTAGTGAACTGAATTAAGGTTATGTATGAAAAATGGAACTGGGTTATGACTCACAGCAATGTGCCTTATTATGTTAAATTCCTATTCATTCGGTAACTTACTACTTCTTAGTTTAGCTGGTTCACTCATTCTCCTTTTCATTCATTCTGGTCATTTTCCCATCTTACCGTTTGTCTTATCTACCCTGGATACTATATAAAAATGAAGAAGGCTTGCTCTTGAGCAGAATCTTATAGGAAGATGTACACAGTGATAATCAGTATTTAAGACCAAAAATGCCAAGGATTCTTCTGGAGAGAAAACCTGATATTCTTTGAGGGGCTAAGGAATGAAGCACTGCAGGAGAGTTAAGGAGTTAAGAGGCTTCCTGGGGAAGGGAGAGGGGCTCACATTTCATGGGGCACAGTCTCAGGTCTGAGTAGGAGGAGGTGACCTGGTGATAACAGTGGAGCACAGCCCTGGGGAGAGGTGAAGGAAGGGGCAAGAAAGCCACAGGTTCAATGGCAGGGCCTGAGTTAACAGAGCACTACCGATCAAGAAGGGTGGAAAATAGAAGTTTTGGTTTTAGATATACAAGGATTCAAACTCAGGGCCTTGTACATACCAAGCAGGTACTCTACCATTAGGCTGCATCCCCAGATAGAAACCGGAGGCTCCTTAAGGAGAAAGAGAGGACTTGCTCACAGGGGAATGTGAGTGAAGAAGGAAAGGGTTTCTGGAAAGTGTTTGCTTTGGCTCTGTGATGGTTTGAATATGCTTAGCCCAGGGAGTGGCACTATTAGGAGGTGTGGCCTTGTTGGAGTACTTGTGTCACTGTGGACATGAGCTTTAAGACCCTCATCCTAGCTGCCTGGAAGTCAGTATTCTGCTAGCAGCTTTCAGATGAAGATATAGAACTCTCAGTTCTGCCCCCACCATGTCTGCCTGAATGCTGCCATGTTCCTGATGATAATGGACCGAACTTCTGAACGTGCAAGCAGTCCCAATTAAATGTTGTTCTTTGTAAGCCTTGCATTGGTCATGGTGTCGTTCACAGCAGTAAAACCCCAACTAAGACAGGCTCTCTATCAGCAAACTCTTCTAGTTTGATGTCTGAATTTCTCAATTTGGTAGCACATATGTAGGATAACTTTTTCTTTTTTTAAAATCCAGAAGGTAGAATGGTTTAGTCTGGTTTGTCTCTAGGCTTTTTCTTAAGGGGACTTGAGAACCCTAAAGGAAAAATCTATAATGATACTTGAAACCATGAAGAAATAAGGGTGATAGGCTAAGGGGCAGGAAAATAATAGCCAGACATATTTACTTCTGTAGAATGTGTATAGAGTAAGCCCAGCACTTCCCTTAGTCCTTCTACGCGTTATGAAGAGCACCAAGAGATCCAGGAAAAAACACTGACAGATGAAACAGCTAGAGTAGATCTTTTAAAGAGGGAAGAACTCTGGGAAGAGAAGGGGAGATGCTGGCTTATTACAGAAGAAACTTCAGAACGACAGGGGAGCCATGAAGGAACAGTACCTGAGAGGTCATGGAAGGACAATTTTTTAAAAACAGTAGTGAACTTTATAAAGTGCTGATGAGAGTCCACGGTAAAAGATGAAGAGACCCTGGAATCCAATCATTAAGAAGGACATGGACACTCCCTGGCAATGGGCAAAGAGACATGTTGGTAGTGTTGTTTTCATATCAGTCAGGGGCAGAGCAGATGGCAGTCCTTTGTTCATCCTAGCTTGATGTCTGGCTTGGTGGCCAAAGCTGCTTTATGCCTAGGACAAATAAAAATCAAATTGAATCCAGGCAGCGTGGCATGGGAGGAGGAAGACAGAGTCATGCCACAAAGTGTGGGCAGGGGAAGATACCCACAGACCTGTCCTCCACCCCACAGCAAAGGTGGGCTATATACACACAAAGTCTTGCTGCCACCATGCAGTATATTAAGAGAGGAGGAAGACTGAGACTTATGGATGGCCATATCACCCACAGACCTGCCCTCTAGTGCCTAGTGGACTGAGGTTGTCACTCAGGGGCGGGCCAGCCATATAGCCAGTCTGTAGCAGGAGCCACCACAATGTGTGAGTGTGTGGTGGACAGATGGGAGAGAAAGAGAAGTGGGACAGCTGGGCATTATGAAGACCTGGAACTGGAGACTCCTCGAGGGTAAAGAGGAGTAACCTGTTGAGAGTGGCCAGCCCTGCCACCTGGGGCCATAGTGAGATCCCAGCCTGAGCTATCTGCTGATGGCCATGTTTGTTGAGTCTGTGGCTATGCAGCGGCAGGGGATGGGGTTGATGTCTATGGCTCATATTACAAGTAGAGAATATGAGCACTCACTAGGGACCACATGGATGTCCAGGGGCTGTGCAGAACTGTCCCCATCCCTCACTGGCTCCAGAGCTCTGGAGAGCTGGTCCTACCTCTCACTGGAAGTAGTACTCGGGAGAGCCGGAGAGCCAGCTCTGCACTTCACTCAGGCTACACAGTGGAACTGGCCCTGGTGGCAGAGGTATGACGGCCTTGAGAGTGTGAATGTGGGAGAGCCAGCTTAGAGCAGCACTCAGCAGAGTAGGCCCTGCATCTTGTGTGGACAGCACAGCAGAGCTGACCCTGGTGATGGGGGCACAGGTGAGCCAGCCCTGAGGGAGAGTGTAGAGAGCTGTCTTTAGGTGGCATGAGTGCGGGGGGTGATGCCTTCACTCTTCATCACCTGCAGCAGTTGAGAGAGCAGACCCCAGGGTCATGAGAGCAAGTAAGCTGACCCTGCTTCTCATCTGTGGTGGGGTGGCATGGGTGCAGGGGGGTTCCTGCCCTCTTCCCTCAGCTGCAGTAGTCAGTAGAGTTGGCTCCAAGGCCTTGATAACAGGAAAGCTAGCTTTGCCCCTTTAGTGGCTACAGGCCTTGGGAGAGCAGGCACCTGGGCAATACAATGGAGCTGGCCCTAATGGTGAATGCCAAGAGTGAGCCAACCCAGGTGTTTGAGAGCACGGAGCCGGCCCCATCCCTCCCAGGATGTAGCACTTGGGAAATTGGGCACCTTGACTGCATGCACACTGGAGCTGGCTCTTGAGGCATGGGTCAGTAATGATCTTGAGATAACCTGGTTCCCCTTATGCAGCACTGTTTGATTAGTCTACTCCTGAGATTGCCCCATTATATGGTAATTTCTGCTAACTTCACAGATGTCAGGGTAAACCATCCCCAAGGGAATGAGAGCATGAAAGCTGAACCAGCTTCCTGCTGATGGCGGCATTGGGTGGCCTAGCCTGAGCAGTGTTGGAGTACTTGCCCTGGTGATTCGGATGAGCTGACCAGCTCAGCTACCACCCAGGCCCAGATCCAGGGCTCTAAATTGGTCCACCTGAAAGTCTACATTATCTACAGGAAGAGTGAAAGGGCCAGTCCTGATGATCTAGAGCTACAGGAATTCCATGACATGGGAACAGCAGGATAACCAGAACTCCCAGTGGGGATCCAATACTGATGGTGTTAGAGAAGCTAGAAACACCTTGAACCATTGGCAAGTAAAGATGTGTGGACAGAGGGATAAACTAAGGGACATACTGTGGCACATTCCAGCTTCCATGATGAGATATTTTTCTATGCTTTGTGTGTGTGTGTGTGTTTTCTTTGCCGGGGGAGTTGCAAGAGTAAAGAGCATATATGAAGGGATGGGGAGATGAGTGGGACTGGAGTAGATGAGGTAAAACTCATAAAGAATCATTAAAGAGTTTTAAAAAAAGGAAGAGGAGGAGGGGGAGGGGAAGAGGAGGAGGAAACGACCTTTGGCAGAGCAAATGTCACTGGTTGGCATGTGGAGTAAGTGAAGAGTGAGTAAGATGCTAGAAAGCAAACAGAGCGAAATCAGAGGGCTTTTCCAAGAGCAGCACGCAGCTAAGCAGGGTGAAGCTGATAACATTAGAGCACAGTGTGGGCCAGGGCTGAGCCCTAAAATGGGAAGAACTGTGCCTGCTGTGGACAAATGCTATCTGTCTAGAGCACATTTGTCAGAGAGCAGCTAAGCTGCGGTTTACTTCCCATTATTTATGAGTTGTGTGTACCAAGAGTTGAGCACAGCTGACTTCATTATCACGGACATTGGCTCCTGAAGGACACTTGAAGTGCCACTACATTTTACTTCATGTCAATGACCAGTGTGCCATTTTTAGCACCAGTGCATGAGGACCCCGAATCATGCCCTCCATCCCACCTGCCTCAGGTTAGGAGACTGGAATTTCCTAAGAGGAAATAAATCAAAGAGGTAATATACTGGCCAGAATTACTTTAAGACCCCAAGGAAGAAAGATTGTTATTTAAAGAACCAGGAAGAATTGTCTAGGTAATTGTCCTCAGCTAAGCACTATTTGTAAATACTTCTTAAACAGAAATATCTTATCCAATGTTCCAGAACTCTGCCAAAGATAAAACTCTAATAGCCAACATTCTGACCCAATACTATACAAGGGAACTTCTCTTCTGATCTCAGCAGCCCTTCATTTCCCATCAGATTTGAAAGAAAACAGAAAGTCTCCATTTGCTATGTTTCCCGAAATGATTGTTCCCTAACACTCATTTCCATGTAGTGCTATGGTCGGTCTCTTTAGAGACATTAGGAGAGCCAATCATCATGCTCATATTGGCAAGCTCTTGGTGTAGAATGGTTCAGCTCAGGCTAACCTCTTAGATACCTTGTGTGCTCCTGCTGAGGTTAAAAAATGGCAGTAGAGTCCTGAAGACAAGGTTTTAAATTCCTGCTTTTTTCATTACTAATTCTGATTACTTAAAAGTTCTTTAACCTATCTGGGCCCCAACATGTACTACAGAGAAAGCGGATGGAGCATATAATAAACTTTCAAAACCATTAACTGCTTTAGTCAAACCTTTCATATATATAGAAGCTGACTCGAATCCCACATCCATGAAGCCCATTCTGATTATATTATCCTCCATCATTCATCTTGCTTTTTTCTGAAATCCTAATATATTTGGCCAAACACAATGCTGAACTGGGGGAGGAAATGAGCATATTAGAGATTCTCAATACTGAGACTACAGGTATGGCATATCCCATAGTGAACATAATGATGTTCATTAGATAGTCACTGATAACTCAGGATCCCAAAACTTTAGAATTTAATGCTATCTATATATTCCCTAACCCAAACTAGCTAGCCAGTGGAGGAACTCAGACTGAAGAGGTTACAAAGCTTGCCTGCAAGACATCAATTGCTTTGAAAGGTAAAGTATGCATCCTACATGCAACTCAGGGAGCTTTTTACCCTGTATGTGTTGCTGTCCTCTGAAGAAGTACCAGGAAATCCACAAGGGCTTTCATGTACTTACTAGAAGCTAGTTGCTTTTCCTATATTAAAACAGTTAAAATGGAATATGGGAGATGTGCTCCAGTGAAAATTGATTCAAACACAAACTAGATTCTTTGATGTCATACATCGGAATAGTTCAACTGACATTCCTCTGCTGCCACCTGAAGGGCAGAGGAGATTCCTACAACTGATCTAACATCTCTGTATTCAGCTCTGTGATATGAAGAAACTCCAGTAACAAGTCACAAGTTCACAGTACAGGGACAAAAAGGAACAGATTACTGTTTCATTGATCAAATCTGTCCTAAGAACACTGTGAGGAGAATTCTGGGTTCAGCCTGGAGCTGGAGAGCAAAAGTAGTCAGCAATGATATTTAAAATAAAGGAGCTTTCACCAGCAAAGGGAAAGACTTTCTGAACACACCACCATTAGCACAGGCTGAGACCCTTTAACACAGTTCCTCATGTTGTGGTGACCTCCAACCATAACATTACTATTGTTGCTATGTCATAATTGTAATTTTGCTACTTTTATGAATCATAGTATAAATATATGTATTTTCTGATGGTCTTAGGCGACCCCTATGAAAGGGCTGTTTGAACCCCAAAAGGTTGTGGCCCACAGGCTGAGAATCAGTGGACTAGAGGGAGCAGATTGATTTTCTTAGGAAAGAGAGATAGATATGGGGTGGGGCTAGATGAGAAGGGAGAGGGAGCTGTGGGAAGGATTACAGGAGAGACAGCTAATATTAAGGGGCATTTGAGGGGAAGTATGAAAACCTCATATTGTAGAAACTCCCTAAAATATATACATACATGAAGGTGATCTAAATGAAATCATCAAATAATGGGGATCAAGAGTCCCAAGTGGTTATTGTTTATCATCAAACAAAATTTCCAGTCCTGGGATTGGGTTATATACAATTGAGTTGTTGGAAAAAGGGGCCCCACAGGAATCTCCAGGCAACCTAGGCTGTTGCCAAGACAGGTTGGTCTCTACAAACTGACAGCAAGGCCCACTGCTGACAACACCTACACAACTCATTGAAGAGGGGATGCCAAGCTGGTGCCTACACAGTCCTCATCCTACATTCTAGTGTCTTTAGTATAGAAACATATTCTGTATACTCTCGAAAACAAATAAAAAACCACGTAAACAACAAGCCAGCCACAGACTATTTTTTTTTTACAGTGGTGCAGAACTAAATAACATGGCTTTAAAACTGAGTGGTTCTGCATAATTTTCAGTTTTGTCCAGAAACTAGCCCTCTGAACATAAAGGTTAATTAGAAAAAATTTTGTCGCCAATGTAAGAAATAAAAAAAACCCAAACTTTTTTGTCTTATATATAGAAAAATATTTATTTTTATTTAATATTCATTTTGGATCTAGCTATGGTTATAAGGACGTTGACATCTAGTAATAAATCAACAGCCTTTATTTATACAGTCCTCAAATAAT